GGGGCGAGAAGCAGACCTGCAGCTGCTCGGGGTAGGCACGAGGTGAGAGGACCTGAACGCGTCCCACCAAAGACGGCGCAGGGCAATGATCCACGCAGTGTCGCCGGCCTGCACAGAGCCGATAATAACACGCTTGGACTACTGACTGATATCAGTAGCCGAAATTTATTAGGGGCAACAGACTATACACTGAGAGTCGTATAGGAGGTATCGAGGTGGAGGTATTGAGCTCAGCGAAAAACACATCAACTGTTTCTATGCTTTTGTTTGGAAGTCCCTTTGTCTTGTATATTCCACCAAGTGTTCTCACACACATACTTTCCACTCAGCTGTTCTTGTACAAATGATACCCCGTCAGGTGTACAAAAGGCAGCCATTCGGTTGTTCTCATGCAAAGCTTATCCAATCAGTCACACAAAAGGCACCCATTCAGTTGTTTATCATACAAATATTGTCCAAGCAACTGTAATCCTGTGCTCGCTGGCCTTCTAGGGTCACAATGTCCTCCTACGGTTAGGGGCTCCCAGAACACGCTGGGACCCTCGTCTACACCCATCAGTTACACACCTCGGCAGGAAAGAGCGACGCCATTTCCCGATCCCGTGGTCGCACGGTGCATCCACAGGTCAAAGTACAGCACGGCGCAAGGAACGAGCGCAAAGATTGGCTCCATTTAAAAATCTGTTTTCAAAGCTACAAGAATTTTGGGTATTTTCAGCAGCACCAAAGAATGATACACGTCATCTAAGAGGAATAACGCTTAGCCCAGCTGAACGCTGCACAACATACGGATCCCACCTGAAACAAGCATCAATCGGCACGGCTTTTGCGTCCCAATAACCAGCGAGATTCAGAAAACAGGAAAACCAAAACACCACCAGCAGGAAGTCTGGATACTCACGATTGTGCGGGGAAGAGCCGCGGTGCACTGCGCTGGGTCCTGATTGAGCCCCGGCTGGGCACCGCTCCGCTCCGTCCAGGGATGCAGTGGGGCCTGGCCCACCCCGCCAGCACCTGACCCAAGGGAGACCCAGTCCACACCTCGAGGCAATGCTGGGTGACTCCCCGGGGCGTGGGGCCTCCACCAGGACAAGGGCCGCCCATCGCCTCTGCTCCCGCACCCCAACATCCCGGCGCAGGAGCCTCTGCTGGAGACACCACCTGCCACCCTGAGAGGCCCGGCCCCACTCTCCAGAGACCAGAGGCAGCTGAGCCCAGCGAGGAGCAGAGCGCCTTCAGCTGATGGCCATGGAGAAAGGCCTCCACCTGTGGTGTGTTTGACTCAGGGGAGCCCAGGGTCTCCACACCGCCTCCGTGGAGCCTTCATCCCCATTTCACAGAGGAGGAAAATGCAGAACAGGAGGCTCCTGGACTGAGGCTGCAGCTCCCGACTGCAAGGCCTGCACAGCCCCGCCGGAGCCCCGTGTTCTCTGCAGCTTGTCCATTCTGGGTCTTTCCCTGGTGGCCACCTCCCCAGCCCCCAGGAGTGCCCAGAAACCCGCAGCTTCCTCAACTGGAGCTGCGCGGTAGCAGCGTCTCCTACACAGTAGAACAGAAGCCCCCATGGCTCTCACCTGCGCCTCTCGGAGCCGGCCAGGTCCCCCGTCTCTCCAGCGAGCACAATACCACCAGGCAGGTCCCGCAGCCAGGGCCCAGCTGAGTGGCAGGCAGGTGGGAGGAACGCTGGGGCCCCCGGCCTGCACAGGTAATTCTCGTGGCGAAAATAGCGTCTTCTTCCTCACCCCACAGGACGGACAGGGGAAAGGAGCTCCTTTTCTGAGCCTGTCCCGTCCCCCGACGGCAGCCTCCTCTAGGGCCCGGAAGGTCCCAGAGACGGCTTGACTGAGTCCATCCTTTGAGCGGGCCCCTCTCAGCCAGCCTTGGGGTGATGCGGGGGTCCCCTCTGGGTTGCGAGGCCGTCCCTATCCCTGACAAGCCCACGCTTTCTCCCCTGGGGCTTGGATCTCGGCTGAGCTTGCAGAACTTGAGGTGGAAATGCACCCAGCAATCCCCGCGCAGGAACTTGTTTGTTTCTTGTTCCTGCTTGTTCCTTGCGCTTTCGCCTAAAGGGAAACGCTCCCAGCTCAGTCTGTGAGGGAACACCTGTGCGCGGGAGCCCAGCTTGGTCTGTGAGGGAGCACCTGTGCGCGGGAGCCCAGGATTGCGAAAGGGTAGGGCTCCACGGATGGAGCTGCGCAGGGGCGCTCCTGGGCACTGCTTCATTTTCCTGGCACCAGGCTGAGCCATGTCCACACCCACCCTCAGGGGTCCACACCACCCTCAGGGTCCATTCCACCCTCATGGTGCACATGGAAGCACCTCCTGTCCCCTGCCCTCAGCCCCGTCAGCTCACCAGAACTCCTGGCATCCAGGTGAGCTCGCAGAACACGGCGCACTAACTCGTGCACCTGCACCTGATACAGGCAGTCCCCAGATCTGGATAGAAGCTGCTGGAATGTGCCTGCATGGTGTTTTCAAAGGGGGAACTGTGGCTCTCATGCAAATACAGAAAGAGCATTTCACAGGTTTTTGTATGACAAAACAAGTGAGAAAGCCAAGGGGCATTTTAAGAACTGAAGTGTGTGGGGGACAGAAGGAAGTTGCCAGGTAGGAAACAAGACTGGTTAATATGCTAAAGGCAGTACAACTGTAAACGCTAGCCCTGGTTTGCTCCCTCCCTTACGCTTGGGCCTGCAAGGTGCCTGGCAACCAGTGGCCAAGTTGGCCTAAGGCCAATGGCGCCACCTCCTGGCCACAGCGCTAGTGACAGGCAGGCAGGGACCACCCGCTGACTTCAGAACAGGCCACCCCATGGTCACCAGAGTGGTCACCACAGCCTATCTGGTCTCCTATGTCCTCTCCTTTTGCCCACCCCACTCCCACTCAGCAGCTGGAGAGAACTCGCCAAGAACCAAGCCAGCATCTTCCACCAGCTTCAACCCCACCACGCCCCACCCCGAGCTCCTGCTGCCCAGACGATCCAGGCATTCGGAGTGACCCTGTGTGCTCTGGCCACCCCTCCTCTCTCCATCCCATCTGTGGGTCCCTCCACTTGTGCCAGCCACTACACTCCTGGCACACAGACCTGAGCTGTGGCCTCGCGCCTACCACTCTGCCTGCATTTACTTGGCTCAGTCTCACGAAGGAGGTGCCCTGGGCAGGTGGGCTACCTCAGGGCACCTCAGCTCATAGTGGCCTACACAGCCAGCCCTTCTCCAGCAGCCCAGCACTTCCGGTCCCTTGCCCAGCCCTGACATTGAGCTGGCGGCAGCTGTCCTTTCATCCTCTACCTGGCTCCCCCACTCCGATGTGAGCTCCCTGGGTGCCTGGCTGGCCGCCCCATCCTCAGTACCTCGGGCTGCACACAAGGTGGGGTTTGTCCTTGAGTGAGTTACGCCAGATTCTGCTGTAGGGAAGACAACACTCCTGTCTTCACCTATCACCAGGCTCACCTACAAGAAAAGCAAGTTGAGCCAGGACGAGTGTGTATTCTGCTGGGCCACTAGTGTGAGTGTCGTGTGTCCCAGGAGCCTTCAGGAATAAAGACACTGGGAGGCCTCGGAAGTGGGTGCCTGTGGAGAGCTGTGAGCCCACGGAGGGCGTGCAGAGGGTGGGATGGGGTGGGTCTACTTACAAGGCCTGTTTGTTCAGATCCTTCTCGAAGCGTTCTGTTGCCACCTCTGCCTTCAAGGGACACAGAACTGAGCTGTGACAGGAATCAGCCTGCTCCCTAACGAGGAGAAAGGCTGGTTTGACCCTCCTAGTTCAGGGCATAAAAGGGTGAAGTGTCTATTTGGGAAGAGGGGTTCTGTGTCTGACCTCCCTTTGTAGGTGAGGAGGGCACGCAGGTGGACACCTGAGCTGCAGCCCCCGAGACGCCTCCAAGGAGGGATGGATGTAAAGACCCAAGGCCTGTCCACAACCCTGGGCATGACCTTGGCAGTGGAGCCTGTAACTACGGTTGGGTATTGAGAGGTCTAGGGAGCTGCAGCTAAGGCCTCTGGTGTCCTTCTGAGAGCCTGTGACATCAAGTCCTATGACATCAGAGTCTCTGACGTCAGAACCTGTGACATCAGAGCCTATGACATTGAAGCCTGTGACATCAGATCCTATGACATCAGAACCTGTGACAATGGAGCCTGTGACATGATGCATTTTTGCTGTTGGGGACAGCTTGTTACACAGTGGTAAATGACCATTTTAGGTTGCAGGGCCCAGGACTGGGCCAGATGGAATCCAGGAGCCAGGAGCTCCTTCTAGCCCTCCCTCGTGGGTGTGGGGGCCGAAGCACTTGGACCACCGTCTGCTGCTTCTCCAGGCACATCAGCAGGGAGCGGTCTAGAACCGGGGATGCCACTGTACAGGCAGTTTTACCTGCCACCTCGCAAGGCCAGCCCCAAGGGGATTCAGCTGACTGAGAAGCAGCTTGAACTGAGTAGGCAGCTCTAGAAAGGCTCTGGGAAATGCTGCCACAGTTTGATGTGACTGTGGCTTTGTCCCCAAGCTCTGTTAGGACAGGGCTAGCCCATAGCCCGTGGCTTCTGACGTGCAGGTTGTGCAAGCTGAAGCCAGCCAGCTTCCCTCTCCAGAGGTTGGCTTCCGGGACAGGTAGGCTTCAGAGGCCTTGGAAGGTGCAGCTTGTGGTTAATTTGTGCCCATCAGCCCAACTCAGTGGAGCAGAAGAAGGACCAGCGGGAGCCGCAGCTGCAACCAGAGCAGAGCGACTCCAGCAGCCAGGGGCGCTCCGGCCAAGTTCTAGCACAAACGTCGTCACCTAGAAGGCCTCCCCAGCCACGGTGCCTTCGGATGCAAGCGCCAGCAGGCACATCGTTGCCAGCCTGCTACAGGGTGGCTCCCCAAGCAGAGTGCGAAGGCGTGAAGGACACGGGCTATCCACGGCTCCACGAACCACCCAGGGGAGGGACCATCACAGTTCCCGCAGCTGCAGGAAAGGCCTGGCCCCTTGCACGTGGACACACTGCACACAGAGCCCAGAGATCCAAAGCCAACATTTTATTCTCAGTTCCGCCTTCGCTGTCTCTAATATTGCAAGCACAAAGAAGTGGAATCACAAATAATTTGCTCCCTTAATGTCTTTCAGGAAACGTCACCACTTGCCAAGTTTCCTGCCCGTCTAAGGAGAGCGGGATTGGAGAGGGACCCAGGCCTGGGTGGGGTTACAGACACATCGGGGTTAATCCCTGTGTCCCCGGCCCCTCTACACTCCTCTCTGAGAGGCCACAGGCTGCTATAAATAGCCCCGAGCCACTCTGCCCTTCTAATGAGGGGAAGAACTTGGCAACAAGGACCAGCAGGAGTGGTGAGGCAGCCCAGTTTACGGCCCCTCAGCAGGACTGCGAGGCCTTGCAGCACCACGGGCGAGTTGCCACCTTCACAGGCTGCAGCCCCGTGCCTCCCTAGCCCCTCGGCCCTGCAATGACCTGTTCATCCACCCCGGAATGCCCTCGGCAGCCAGAATGGGAGCAAAGGTTGGGGGGAACAAATGTTCTCCCAAACACCCCTCCATTGGGGCAGGTCCCAGAGCGGACCCCAACTCCCAGCCAGAAAGCTCCTTCCCCTCGGAGGAGCTGTCCGTGTCCCACGGCTCACAGGACCGTCTCCCGGATGACACCGATGAGGCTGTGTGGCCGCTCTGCCTCAGCTCGCTGGGGCCTCCGCTCAGCCCGTGACCTCCCAACAGGGGCGAAGGTGCTCAGGTCGCCGCAGCTCTGCAGGTGCAGCAGGCCGGGCTGTCTCCGCAAGGGCAACACCTGGGCCTGGTGAGTGCTGGGCTGCACTGGGGCCATGATCTGTGGGAGAGCGTAGGGAGAAGGTAAGAATGCCACCGGGCCAGGCCGGTGAGCCTGGCCCAGGATGCGCACACACGCATCACCACCAGGAGAGGCCAGGAGGCATGATCCTGCCCCAGGATCCACACACATGCATCACCAGGCGAGGCCGGTGAGCCTGGCCCAGGATGCACACACACGCATCACCACCAGGAGAGGCCAGGAGGCGTGATCCTGCCCCAGGATCCACACACATGCATCACCAGGCGAGGCCGGTGAGCCTGGCCCAGGATCCGCACAAGTTTGAAAACATCACTGCCTTGGGAAAGAAGGACGTTTTTCCCAAAGGGTAACTCACTGGATAGTCCAGATACTCCTGGCATACTGGCTTTTTTCTCAAGTGCCTAAGAATCCTGCCACTGCAGCCTGCCACACCTAACAGATGGGTCAATGGTGCTTCCCGGCCTGTGGGCCCTGCTCTTTCTTCCAGCTCCCCAGAGCTCTAGGTTGCCGACTCTCACTGGGTCTGATCATGAGTTGGTGCAGGGGGAAGGGGTGCTGGGAACTTGTCCGAAACACGGATTCCCAGATGCCCCCAGCTCTGATAGTCTCATGGGACTAGACACCTATTGGACCACACAGTAGCTCTGCAAGGAACAATGTAAAAACCTAATTTATTTGTGAAAATTCTTTCAGAAAACTTCCACTCTTAGATCTGTTTTACAGTGGGTCACATGCTTAAAAACATGATGACGCTACTCAGTCTAAGCTGGGGAACAACACGGGAGACTCCCCCAAAGCTGCGACTGGACAGGGAGGAGGGACGCGCTAATACTGTGTCTGCCACCCCTGTCACCGTGAGCGCCTCAGGACACAGGTGCCTGCTCACTACGTGACGCCATGGACCAGTCATTCCGGTGAGCACTATTAGAAGCTTCTGAATCTATTAGAAAGTTAAGCCTCCCAAAAGAGGGTGTGCTACCTACAGCACGCAGCCGTTCCCCCACAGCCATGGAGGAAATCCTCACGGGTCACAGCTTTCAGAGTGGCGGGACAGAGGGCAAGGCTCTCCCCGGCAGAGGGAAAGTGTGTTCACGCAGCCCTGCAGGACTCCTGCGCCCGCGGACTCCCAGCTCGCCTGATATGAACCCCGGGACCCACTCGATCAGCTGCAGGACTCGCCTGCCCCTTTCCTTGCTGCCTTTCGGTTTTGGGGCGCCTTGTGCTCATCAATCCGTGGGGAGGCTGATTGCTTTAAGTGCTACCAGCTCATTATCTTGCCAAACACTGGCTGGGAATGCAGACAACTCCCTCTCCACGCTGTCATTTTTAAAGGGCTGGGAGAACACGCCAGAGGCAGGAAAGCCTTCACTTAGGAAAACAAGCATGCCCTCCACAGGGTTCCACATCCTGTGCTTCTGCCAGGCGTGTTTTGAACACCCAGAAAAAGCTGGGCTAGGCACACCGGGGAAGAGTTTCCAGCTCTAAACGGGTTGCTCACCTGACTGCTCTCTTCCTCCTACCTCCTAACCCTGTCTCCCTGGAGACCGCGGCCCTGACCAGCCTCTCCGCCTGGGACGGCTGTGCTGCGATGGGGATGAGGTACCTGACGCACGCCCAGCCTGAAGTGCTGAGAAACTACCTGTTCCAGGAAGCTGGCACTGGTGACAGCTTCCTCCATGTGCTCCTCATCGGACTTCAGCACGGACTTGATGTTTTCCACAAGTTCATGGATGTCTGGGGTCATGCGGCAGGGGGACTGCTCCAGGAACCTCGCCACCAGCAGCTTGGTGTCCATGTAGGATCTGTAATCCACCAGCGAGCGCGGCCTGCAGTGCGGAGCCCTCGGCCGCAAGCCTCTCCTCAGAGCCACCGTGCCATGATCTGGTCTCCTCTCCGTCTGCGTTGCAGCTTCGCAGCTGAGCACCGGGGCTGCTGTGGGCAAACACACACTCCGTGGCCCAGTGGCCCGGGCCCCAGGGGACCCGCCTCTGCATGTGACACAGCACAGCCCGTGGAATGAGGGTGGGAAAGCATGGGCAAGCACTGGCAGGCATGCACACCTCGCTTCTCTTCTCGCCAAGGAAAAGAAAACCACAGTGATGACGTAAGCTCATTCCCCGAGGCGCACTTCCAGAAACGTCTGTGTCACCAAGACAGTGGCTGAGAATTCCAAATGCAAACCATAACACACTGAGCTCCAGGGGAGAATGAATGGCCCAAACAGAAAAGCACAGGTGGCTGCCAGATGAGTGTACGCTTCAGGGGGGGAGAGGGCGGGAGGGCACGCCAGGAGAGGGAGGGGCTGACGACACGCAAGGCTTTGCGATGAACAAAACGCTCCGTCCACTTGGTACCTGTGTCCCCAACGCCCACAAGGACATCGTACTGACCTCCATGGCCGATGCTCACACCATGGCTAGGAGGCAGCTCTATGGCTAGTGCAGAAAATCTACGCATCATTCCAGAAGTCAACCGGAGGCCTGGGCCATCCAGAGGCTCTAGCGTCCACAGCCCCCTACGTCAGCAGTGGCGAAAGGTGAGCAAAATGCTACCACACTGGGAAGCAGGTGAAATGAAACTCAAGTCCTCTTTCCACGTTGTGCTGAAGCCAGCCAGCAGCCTTCGGTGTACACTAAACTGGGTGACAGGAGTCTGTGAAGACCTGATAAGCAGGACTTTGGATATGCAAGGGAAACGGGGTGCAGGGCAGGAGAGCAGGTGGAAGAGGGGGTGTGCGCCTCTTCCTCTGGAGAAAGGCAGGTAGGAGGAGCTGTGGACTCAGCAGCAGGCCATCCTCCAAAGCTGTCTGTCACACCGTGCGAGAGACTTCCAGAAACACTAGCTAAACACACTCCCGCATGAGGACTCGCTTCCCAGAAGGCAACCTGGCAACCTCCACACCGGAGTGCTCCACGACTTCCTTGCCCCTGTAAGATGGTTCTAGAAAGTTCTGCCTAAGCTGTGCCAACCACAGCGTTCCTGCTGAGTCCTTCTTGGACAGGCAGGGGCAGGAGACCCCCTCGCAAAGGTGGATACTGGGAGTCAGAGGTGCACTTGGTCCCAGGCAGGGGCTCCCGCCCTCGGAGTGGCGGCTGTGGAGACACGGTGAGCGCATCCTCGGGGGCTCCCGCATGGTCAGGCCAGAGCCGTGCACAGAACACGCTTTCAGGAGCTCAGCAGGCGGACTGCAAGGGCTGTGGGGCGGCCGAGGGACAGTGAGCGGGAGAGGACGCTCCCCATTTAACTGGCCTGGAGCGCAGGAGCCAACTGGGACAGCTCACAGACAGAAGCCTGCGCTGGCGGGGCTGTGCGACCCCTGTCTGCCCCCTCTGATCTCCTTGGTGTTTTTCACACTTTTCTACAACGAACTGGAGATGTTCAGGTATCCATGTAAGAGGAGTCCTCAGAAACTCAAAAGAAACCCGGGGTGGGCACTGTGCTGCTGCGATGCCAGCATCTCGTATGTGTGCTGGTTCGAATCCTGGCTGCTCCACTTTTGACCCAATTTCCTGCTACCAGGTCTAGGAAAGCAGGGGGATGGCCCTGGTGGCTGGTCTCCTGCCGTGCATGTGGGAGACCCAGCAGGAGTCCCAGGCTCTGGGCTTGGCATGGCTCAGCCCCAACCATTGCAGACATTTGGGCAGTGAAGCAAAGGCTGGGAGAGCTTCCATTTTCACCTTTCAATAAACTTTTTTCTTAGGTTTATATTCAGGAAAAAAAAAACCCTTCATTGTTACTTTTAAATATTACAGTTGGGCCTAGCGCGGTGGTGCAGTGGTTAAGGTCCTCACCTTGCACGCCCGGGATCCCATATGGGCACCGGTTCTAATTCCAGCAGCCCTGCTTCCCATCCAGCTCCCTGCCTGTGGCCCGGGAAAGCAGTCGAGGACGGCCCAAAGCTTTGGGACCCTGCACCCGCGTGGGAGACCCGGAAGAGGCTCCTGGCTTCAGATCGGCATAGCATCGGCCATTGGACTCACTTGGGGAGTGAATCATCGGACAGAAGATCTTCCTCTCTGTCTCTCCTCTCTGTATATCTGCCTTTCCAATAAAAATAAAATAAATCTTTAAAAAAAAATATTACAGTTAAATAATGCCCATGTGTAAACTCATTGAAAACCGAGAGGGGGACAGCATATATTTGTCACTTGATCCAAAGTTCTGAAAACAAGAGTGAATGCCAATAAATCAAGCTAATCACACACGGATGACAAGATAGCATACAATCATAACGGCCAGGTCAGACAAGGTCACTTCTCTGGCTCTTTCCTTCAGAAGGCATATTTACCCAGGAATTATACCTGCCGAACCAGGACTAGGGGTCCGGGTTTTTTTCCTTGGGTGTCAAGTATAGTGTCATGAGCACTCCCAACTTGTGAGCGATAATGACTTTAAGAAGCAAATCCGGTCAGCCTTAGAAGATGTGGCTGACACATGTCGCTTACATGTGTATAGCAGGGATCTCTGAACCTCCCTCTGGAAACCAGGTAAGCCAAGACCTCACGCCGCCCAGAGCCACCTGCTCCACCCTGGCCCCTTGGAACAAACAGGCAGTGTGCCCTTCCGAGGGCTGGGGTCCCCTTCCAAGGACTGGGGTCCCCTTCCAAGGACTGGGGTCCCCTTCCGAGGGCTGGGGTCCCCTTCTGAGGGCTGGGGTCCCCTTCCGAGGGCTGGGGTCCCCTTCCGAGGGCTAGGGTTAGCTCACCTCTCTCCTCGCAGTGACGGAGTGCAGGGTCACTCTTTGATCTTGTCCGCAGGAGTGGGGCCGCTCTCCCATTGCGCAGGGGAGGCCCCAGGTTCGAACTGGGAGTGGATAAGGACATGCCTTCTTCTCCAGGTATGTTAGGAATGCCCTCCCCTGATAAGACGGGGAGGGGGGAGTGGGGGAGAGACAGAGAGAGAGAGAGAGAGAGAGAGAAATGGAAAACAAAAATGATTCTCCTGCAGCCTTCAGAATGCTGTGCAGGAGACACCTGTGCGCCCGGACCAAGGCAATGCAGTCACTGTCACTTACTTAGGCCCGGCCCAGGGAGCTGCTTCCCAGCGCTCTGGGAAAATCTGCCTCCACAAACCAAGCAAAACAAAGAACCATCCCAACATGTCCCTTTAAAACTCTTCCTGAAGTCCTCCACCTGCAACATGAAACACGGGCTGCCGGCTGCTCCACTTCCCGTCCAGCTCCCCGTTAATGTGCCTGGAAAGCAGCAGATCGTGGCCAAGGGCTTTGGTCCCTGCGCCCTTGAGGGAAATGCCATGGAGCTCCTGGTGTCATCGTGCCTGGCACAGACCTGCCTCTGCTTCCAGCTCCCTGTCAATGTGCTCAAGACAGTGACGATGGGCCCTTGCTGGAGTAGTGGAGAGCAGAGGGGGTTCCTGGCTCCTGCCTTCTGACCCCAGCTGTGCAGGTAGACAGCTGAATGGAAGATGACTTCATACATGTAGCTCTTTCTCTCGCTCTCTCCCTGTCACTCTGCTCTTGAAAGTGAATAAATGATTTTTAAAGATTTATTTATGTTATTGGAATGTCAGCTATGCAGAGATAGCCCATCAATAACTTTCTTAAATGGAAAAATCACCAACTTGGGCCAACTGACCCCAACTGCACATCTCTGCAAGGTGGAAGGTGAACAGAACAGGAAAACCCGTTCACATGGCACTGTTGAAAAATGACCCATCTACAGCAGCTGCACGTCGCTCTGTTATTTATTACCACTTGTAATTTGGTCCAGGACTCGAGTCTCTGAGTTAGATACAGCTGCCAGTGAGAGAATGTGCTAACAATGTTGCTTTACATTACAAGGATAAATGGAAACTGACTGTAGCAGTTAACCAAAGACTAAAATGAGAATTCATGTGAAGGCAGCATGCCTGGCCCAAGGTTATAGATGATATGATTTAATCTCACAGAAAACCACCCTGCGACACATGAAACCCTCCCACTCGAAAGAACTCAGTCTAAAGTCATAGATAGAAAATCCGAGAATGCCAAAGGAAACTCCATTTCATGTGTCGTGGAGACTAGCTGGTTACATCTTTCCTCCTGGGTTCACCTACAAGTCTGACATGCTGGTAGGAATCTTGTACCTAGAAAGGATATAGCTTGAGACATCTGTTCCAAGAATTTTTAAAAGGTTTGTTTGAAATACAGAGATAGAGAGAGGGAGATGAGGGAAGAAGAGAGGAGAGAGAGTAGGGCAAAGGAAGGGAGGGAGAGAAGATGAGAAAAAGAGAGAGAGGAGATGAGAGAGAGACCTTCCACTGACTCCCCACATGCCACAATCAGAGCAGAGCCAGGAGCCAGGAGCCCAACCCTAGTCTCCCACATGGGTGCAGAGGCCCAAACACTTGAGCCATCCTTTACTGATTTCCCAGGTGCAAGAGGCTGGACCTGAAGTGGAGCAGCCATGCCTCCAACCGGCAGCCAATGGGATGCCCCTGGCACAGGCAGCAGCTACACCTGCTGTGCCACAGTGCCAGCCCCCTCCACAAAGTGCTGACCTCCAGCAGAATACCAAACTTCCGATGTTGAAGTCTATGGAATTATGAAGTGCCAATTACCTTGAGTCACTTGGGCAGAGACCACCTCCAGCGGGCTTGCCACACTCCCGGCTGAGTCTGGAATCTGGAAGGCAGATCCCTGTGTGGAAGGGACAGCAGGTTACCGTGCTGACAGCCAACTCACCAGCAACAGGTCCTCAGGGTGCTTGGGTGAGAGTGGTCTGTACCTGCTCTCGGTCCATCTGCCTCATCACAGCTTCATATGGAGGTGGGGGGTCCAGGGGGCAGAACACTTCCACGCCTTTGATCCGGGCACCATAGATGTGTGGCAGGGGGATGACATCAGAGCCGGCTATCCTGGGAACAGCACCAACGCATGAGGATGCCCGCTCTGCAGAGGGCCATGGAGGGAGGCTTTTGCCCCGCACTTGGCATGGGAGGGTTAGGGTGCGCCACTTCCATGCCACAGCTTGCAAAGAAACAGCAATGCACAGGCACAGGGAAGACGGGGAGCTCCAGGGAGCAGGAGGGGAAGGGCGGGGTGCGGGGCAGAAGGAGTGTGGCTGCTACTGTATAGAGGTCTCTGTCAAGGTGAGGAAATGAGTGAGGCGGAGGTGTGGAGGCACAGAGTTGGGAATAACCCACATTGCCCTTTGGAGTCGATCCTCTCCTTGGAGGTTGTGCACTGCACGGCATGGGATTTCCACCTCAAATTCAAAAGAGCCACACTAGGGCCTGGAGAATATCTCTTGCTTCTTACAGTCGCACACGGCCAGCATCTGATACACGGCAGGTGCACTGCTCGCCAAAATGGCATTGAAAGGGGGCGTAACGCAAGCACAAAGGGAACTGTGTGGTAGTTAACAGTGCGCAGACGGCCCGCAGGATCCCAGCAAGTGCAGTCACTCATTGGCCCCTTGCTGCGCTGCCAGGCCCTGCTGGAGGTCCTGGGCTGCAGCAAGGCTCAAACCCGGGGGTGGGACAGGTCAGTGTCTCCCGCTGCACTAGAGCGAGTGAGCTCATGCCATAGGCCAAGACGGCACTCATTTCCAACAACAAAGCTAGAAGCAGACTCGAGCATTGGGTAAGGAGATGGTGAACATTCCTCCCAGCAGCTCAAACAGGTGACGAGGGAAGAGAGTAGCTGGATGTCTGGTGCGCACGCGCCACAGCTCACTGACGTAACGACAGCGCAGCTGTTTCTGCATTCAACGTCTCTCCCAACAACTTGCCGCTTCACCACCTCCACGCTGCCCTCTCTCCATCTCCGTTCCTCCCCCTGGGTTTGGGTATAGGAATATGCTAGAATTTTGTGTTACTAAATATTTACATTTGCTATCAATAAAAGTGTTATGATCGTTATTCTTAATCTCTTAACAATTCCTGACAATTAGACTTCCTTTGCACACAGCCTCCATTCAACGATTAAGTAAGTTGGATGAGTTTTCCTTCTGACTGACTCTTAGGTAACTTTTAAGAGTGGAGGGGCTTATATTTTGAAGGAGTTTTTTTGTTTGCTTTCTACATGTGAGGACCCTCAAGCTTTTGTAAAATTAAAAAGATAAATTTTCCAAAATTTCCTGCCAATGTTCATGGATAATTCCATGATCTAAGAAACTAAATAATAAAGAATCTGAGCTTTAAAATAATTACTGAAAGCTGGCATGCTGATGTAGCAGATAAATGTTCTGCTTGTGGTGCCAGGATCCTATATGGGCACCGATTCACATCCCACCTGCTCCACTTCTGATCCAGCTCCCTGCTAACCACCTGGGGAAACAGCAAAGGCTGGCTCACATCCTGTGTCCCTACACCCAGGTGGGAGACCCAAAAGAAGCTCCTGCTTCATGGCTCCAGACTGGCCCAGCCCTGGTCAAAGTGACCATTTAGGAATGAACCAGTGGATGGAAGATCTGTCTCTGTCCCTCTCTCTCTGATCCTGACTTTCAAGCAAGAAATAAGCACATCTTTAAAATAATAATTACTAAAAAATGCACACACTCAAAAGTCAGAAAATTACTTGGTCTATGGAGCTCTAGAAAATGAAACTACATACATGATACAATAGCAGAAGTATAGCAAGCGTTCTTGACATACAAAGCAAGAAGAGCTGAAAGGGTCAGACACAGCAGGGGACTGAAGCTGTAGCTGCTGGTCAGCCTCTATGCCCATGGCAGAACATGACCGGTGGAGGGAAATAGTTGAAAAGAGTGTGGTGGTCTTTCTTCCTAACAGTAAGACTTCTAGAATTCTGGGTTAGAAAAATGAGCCTTGAGCAGCCCGACGGAGAATGTAGGCAAGCCCTGCTGCCTCATCCTATATCTGACTCATCCGCTCAGCTCAGCACAGGACACAGGGAGGCCTGGTCCAAGGAGATGTGGCATTGGGGGATGGCTGGACACAGGAGTGGAGCCTGGCACAAACAGCAGGTAACACACAGGCTCCTTTGCCTTGGTTTGTTTACTGCTGCTTTCATGAAATGCCTGGGACTGGATGATCTAGGAAAAATGGAGCTGAACTGGGCTCACACTGTGGAATCCAGAGTGGCAGTGGCTGAAGAGCAAAAGACAACGTGTGGCAAAGCGTGAGAACAGCATCGTGTTACTACAACACACCATGGGGTCGCTGATCCAGTCCTGCCAGAAGAAGTCCAATCTCCAAAGAAAGGAACAGAGCCCTCTAAGTGATCCAGCAGCCCTGGGGCAGGGGCGCCTACACCCAGCACCACCAAGACAGTCCAACTGCAGTAAATTTTGGATGGACAAACTCTGCCAAGCCACAGCACCCCAAAGAACAGGACTTGTCCACGGGGTTTCCTTCCAACCAAAGTCAAGTCTGCCTTTCCAATTAAAATTTTTTTAAACCAAGAAAGGTAAGGGAAGAAAATCTGGGGGTAGGATTCAAAGCTAAATATTCTTTAAAATAGTGGCTACCCCGAGAGTGTTTTGCATATGAGCTAGCGATGGGAGAGCATGGTTGCTGAGGTCTGAATGTGCCCCCAAGCCCAGGTGCTGGGAGGTGGAGTCTCAGCAGGTGCTCAGGTCCTAAGGGCTCTGCCCTAAGAAGGGGCTCCCTTGTTGTAAAGAGGGCCTGCTGGGGACGGCTTCTGTTGCACACACCTGCCCCAGGAGCACTCATTCCCTCTGGGGCACCAGCAGGAAGGCAGCACCTTGCAGTCAGAGACCAAGCCCACCAGCCCCATGATCATGAACTTCCCAGACTCCAGAACTGCGGCATCCAGTTGGACAAATGGACTAAGACAAGGACCCAAGATTTATCATCAGGTTTTGTATGTCCATTGTCTCATAATAGCACTCCCAACAGTGACATCATAGCACAGGCGAACGGGGAGACAGTCATAGAAACAGAGACCTGCCTCTCCGTCTTCCGCAATGCCCCTCTGTGGGGCAGGGCCTGGGATTCTAGAAGTTCATCACAAGGTCTCCAGGAAGCCTTGACAGGCTCACACTTATGAACACTGAGGAAGGGTTTAATGCAAACAGATGCTGCAAAAAATGTTCTAATTTAATGCTGCAAATAGGCCTTGGCAATTCACCCAAGGGTGATGCAACAGCTGACATGCCTCTGACCAAACCACAGTCCTTGTGTGTCAACTGCAAAGCTGTCCCTGGCTCCTGGGCGCATGGAGGCTTGTGGGTTCCTATCCTAGGCTGAGTCTGAGCTTGGGGAGCGGCGGGTGTGCAAGCCCTTCATGGGCTTAGAGCCAGGTTACAAACGTGAAGCTCCATTGTCAGCGAGAAGCCTGGCTGCAGCCAACCAGCCTTCTGTCTGCCACAGTAACTTGAGCAGGTCCTTCTCAAGGAGATGCCTGCAGGGCTTGTATTTATAGACGGTCAGTAAATAAACCTCTTCTAAAGGTCCTGCCACCTCCAGGGAGCCTGGGCTGGGTGGACATGCAAGGAACTACAGAGCCCCTGGCACCAACACGCAGGTGCACACTAGCCTGGCTGGGAGCAGGAGAGGGGCCGACCGATGCGTTACACAGCCAGTGCCATCAAAGCGACTTTGTCGTGATACCGAGCAGAGTTGGACACATGCACAAATATCTCCATGGGCTGTGTGGCCTTCTTAAGGACAGCAGACTGCACTCTGGTCTGGGTGGGGGGCCTCGCAGTCAGGGGGCCTGCTGCCTGGTGACCTCGTCCAACGCTCCAAGCTGGCACCTTGTCCTGGTCAGTGTCCCCTCTCCCCCAGAGCCTTCCTTCTGGAGGGGTCTGATGGTAACTCCGTGGAGGAGGAGCTGGCCTGGATTTGCCCAGGGGCTTTCCCAGCACTCACAGGGACAAGCTTCAGGGGGACCCAGATCTTCAAAGTGTAGGAGCAACATAAGTTGAACAGGGCTGTGGTGAAGCAGAGAAGGGGACAGGAGAGGAGAAAGCAAGGTCGGGGAGTCTGCTGGGTGGGGCATCCGCGCAGCTCCACTCTGAAATCCACATGAGTCACTTTCCCTTTCTGCAACTGCAGGAAATTAAATCTGTCTGTTGCCTCCTCTTAGGTCAACCAATGCCCGGCCACAAGCTCACCAGCCAAGGAACTCTGAAGAGGCTGTTTCTCTTCCTGACAAGGAACTAATAACCAGTCCTGCCACCCTGTGACACCCTCCACACACAGCCAGAGAGTGTGCCCCAGGAAACTCAGAGTTGGTGAGCACCCTGGCTCTTGGGCTTGCTAACCTATGGCTCTTATCCTGAAAAAATTAAGGAAGACATTCCAGCCCATGGCCCCTCCCTGTACAACAGAGAAGCTGAGCTGTCCCCCCAGCACCCATCCCAGGTCATCTGTAACTCCTCCCCAACCTCTCCCTTCCTGCCACCCACTGCCACATGCTCTGCTTTATGGCCAACTCACTTCTGTCTGGGCAGGTGCATGTGGCAGGGTACAGAGCAGGACAGGAGATCCAGCAGGACTCAAGAGACACCAAGGGCTTCTGGGAGGAGCTGTCTCCAAGGTGTACACACACACACACACACACACACACACACACACACACACACCAGCCCTGACAACAGAAAACTGCTCTCCCCAAACCACAAACTCACACCCAATGTTTTGACCCTCTGTATGTGATATAGCGATTACAACACAGAAACATTTGGCCCCATCAATAAAAGGCACTGGCATTTCTGTGGAACTCAGTCTATAGGACTGCTCACCCTGACACCAGCTTCCTGTCACTTCTTGCAGAAAGCCATCCCTGCCTGCTGCATCTCCCCGCTGCAGCCTAACAGCATCCGGATCTTTCTCTGGAGCCCTCCTGCAGACCCAAGCCAGCGTGCTTGTCCAGCGGGAGGCAGGAAGCAGGGCTGACTCACTTTGGATTTCAATAACTTGGCAGAGGAAGCAGGAAGCAGCAGAGGAGGGGTGCCTCTATTTGTTGAACAAATTAACGGAGTCATTCTTTAGAGAGGTTCAACACAGAAGTCACTAACAACTAGAATAACTCTTGCAATATTTCATTCTACAAATAGTAATTTCAGAGCTTGCAGAAACAAACGTCGAGCTAACATTTGAAAAGGCTGTGTTTCCCAGACCAGGAAGGTGCAATTAATAATTAATCTTTTCTTAATGGCTTGGAAGACTTTCACAACCCTTCAGAGCTGCCAATGGTGTTATAATGAAACATCGATCTAGCCTGGCTGGGAGCGTTGCCAAGGTAACGGCGATTCTCAATCATGTCAAATTACAGCTGTTATCTCCCTGGTGTCATTTACTTATTTTTTTTCCTAAGAAGCTAATTGAAATTGAAAATGTATATCTTTAGTTCAAGGTTTGACTTTTCCTTGCATTTATCTGCTTTATCAGGCCAAAAAAAAAAAAATGGCAGAAAGAGATTAGGGAACCCTGGCAACCATGATCTGTCTAGCCGGTGGTGAAGCTTGGAGCTCCTGCTGTGACTCCCAGGGCACGCTGTCCTGTCCTGGGGAGCCACAGGGCGGCGGAGCGGTACCTGCGGTTCAGCCGGGGCGTGCAGGAGTAAAACGTGGCGAAGTAGGAGGGTGGAGGCACCGGCGGCACGAAGTCTTCAGGGTCTGGGATCCGCCCATGCTCTTCCAACTCCTCTGTGGAAATCTGGGACTCATCCTGCTCAAAGAGCACCCCAGTTAGCATACAGCTCTCACACCCCAGGGGGAGAGCACCAGGCTCCCCGCCCCCACCCCCAGGTCCTGGTTGGGACTCACGATGCACGATCGCCTGGTGGCGAAAATCTGGAGGTAGCGTAGAGCAGCAGCCACCAGGCAGACGGTGGTGGTGAGGGCGTTCAGGGCACACAGGGCGAAAAGGACTTTCTGCAAAAGGCAGTAGGGACACCCTACTGAGACCTTCCATGCAGAAGAGTGCACTGTGCTACACACAAAGCCAGGGAGCGAAGAATCACAGCATCCCAGGAAGGCACGCTCAGCAGAAAGCCCACACCAAGGAGTTAGGGTGTGCAGCTCAGGCAAAGCTCCGATGCCCATGCTGGCTCTTCTGATCCTGAAGCAGGAGTATGTCCTTCTCCACTGTAAACTCATCTCAGGAGCACCTGGGATTCACATGTGCGTGCTGGATTCCATATCCTGCATATTGTCCATCACAGCTCAAAAAACTTTAATACAGGCTGGCAAGATGGCTCAACTGGCTACTCCTTCACCTGTGAGCACCAGAATTCCCATCCAGCTCTCTGCTTGTGGCCTGGGGAAAGAAGTGGAGGATGGGCCAAAGACTGGGGACCCTGTACCCATGCCAGGTAGGAGACCTGAAAGAAACTCTTGGCTCCTGGCTTTGGATCAACTCAGCTCTAGCCATTGCAGACATTTGGAGAGGATTCAGTGGATGGAAGATCTTTGTCTCTCTCCTTCTCTCTGTAAATCTGTCTTGCCAATACAAACAAATCTTTTTTAAAAATGCATGTATGCTAAATACACACATTATCTTTCCTTGTCATCACTCCCTAACAATGCAGTATAACCACTACTGACATGGCATTCGCATTGCGTTTGGTATAATAAGTAACATGATTTAGTCTCTGGACAGACACGCACAGGTAACAGGACAACAGCATCCTGTCTCTGCAAAGGGTCTTTAGTCTTGGAAGATCTTGGTATCCCAATGGGGCCCTCAGATGAATCCTGCAGACGCCAAAGGACAACTGTACTTCTGGTGGCCAGCATCCGGCACTCTCTACAACCATTCCCTTTAGGAAATGAGTCAGGTTGTTGGAGTCCCCAGGGGTGACGATGCCCAGCATCCCACCAAAATAGATACTGCTCAGTGTGTGGCCACAGAATCTATTTCAGGAGCACCCAACTAGGACCCAGCAGGGGCCAGGTCAGCCGGAGTGGACAAGGACCTCTTCCCTCTAAACACACATCTCAATAACAGCAACAAAGACACCCTCTCTCCTCAGTGGGCTTTCCCCAAATGAAGTCCCGCTCAGGGAGGCTCTGGGGGTGACACAGCTAAACAGCAGAGCTCACGTGACTGTGCCTTCTTCGGGCCTGGCGTGGGCTGACGCCCAGCGGAGTACTGAAGAACTTCAGGGTACCTTAAGTAGAAGATGGACTGCACTGCAAGGCTGAACTGGAAAGAGTTTCAAGGCATTTTCTTTGTCTGTGCATTTGGCTGGTTGAAATTCTTCACAACAGAAGCAAATCTTGCCTTCCCCTAAGTCCACCTTAAAGGGAAAAAGGGAGAACAATATTTTAATAATGAAGGGGAACAATCTACACCTCAGAACAGCAATCCTTCAGAATGTGACGTGACCGGGTTCCATATCAGCAGTGCCCGTGTCACTAAGTCGCAGTGTAGGGCATGTGCAGAAATCGCCAAGCCCAAACCTGCAGCGGCTCGACAAACGAAGGTCACTTCTCTGTGCTTCCCTTGTGCTGCGGGCACAGGGCTCTGCTCGCCACCGCCCCGTGAGCAGGTGACGGGAACACCTGCTGCCTTCACGGGGCCATCAAAGTGCTGCCAGAGAGCAAACACATGCCAACTGCATGGTGGCACGCATACCGGGGCTGGCAGGTAAAACACAGGATGAATTCAGAAGAGATCATGTTTAAAGTGTAAGTATGTCCCAAACATTGCATAAACCAAACCAAATTTGTAATCAAAGATTATGAGCTGTTTATATGTTAAATTCAAGTTTATCCAGATGTCCTATACTTTCACTTGCCCAAGCCAGCAACCCTCATTGGAAGCTTCTCTGGTGATCCCTTTAGCTTATAATATCACCCGTCCCAGCCACATGACCACGCTGAACTTCGTGCCAAACGTCAGTAAGAACATGCCTGAATGCGGCAGTCACCCAGCAACCTGTGAGCCTGCAGACCCAGGGGCGGCCAGCTCACAGGCCGCAGGAGGCCTGCAATGTCCGTTGGTCGGGCCCTGCTGCGGCAACTGCAGGCAGGGCGCACAATCCAGTATGTCTAGACAGCTAGGTGTCAAGTTGACATTCTGTGTCACCTGCAGATGATGTAATACACATTCAGACGGCACTTGGCAGAGGAAAGGACCCCCACTCCTGTAAGCCACCCACTTCTACAGCTCCAGTACAGGCACAGCTGCCCGCCAGTGTATCGGAGGCAAGAATAAACGAGTAATCTTGTACATTTTTAATGAGATGCCTGGCAAACTTTTAGTCACTTTTCAAGTTTTCCTCGTCAGGTAGACAATTCAGAACTTAGGGGTGACAGGACCTTTCTTAATTCGCTTTGTGACTGGAGTTATGCATGCGAACCGCTCTGCTATTGCTTTTTCACTAATTGTTAAATCAATCAGGCAGTTCTGACTTCTCTGAGGTTTTCACCAACAAAACATCCACAGTGCTTTATGGGTTGGTTCTTACTGAATTAAGATGCTTCATCTCTGATTAGAAGAAAAGACTTCATGGTGTTCTCCAAATTAGGAGAAAACATTCCTTGTAATCCACGTTGCAAGGAAGCAATAAAAAACCAAATTCCACTACTGGATTATAAAACATTTGGGGAGGGGATTCTCTAGAAGGAAAATGCACACACATGAAATTCACATGCACGAATCTTCGATGTCCCATTCAGGCATCCTGATCAATACACACACCCGTGTGACCCAAGCTGCAGAGGACACGACCACCACTGGGAAAATCCCACCAGCCCCCTCCGCTCGCCACCGCAGTCACGTGAGGGGTTCCCACACAGACTTCCGCTGCCTCTCACAGTGCTTCTGGACTCTGCATCGGAAGTCACACTGGAAGGGGTGCACCAGGACACCACAGTGTCCTGCTTTTTTCTCATCTCTGCACCAGCTTCAGTTTCTCCCACTGCGGCCACTGAGCCAAGCCTGCATCGGGCAAGTGAGAACTTCCTCTCCTTTTCTGTCCCCTCAAGGATCAATGGCGCATCTCTCTGCTCCTCTCCCCAATCACTAGCTCTTCCACTGGGCCAGGTGCAGCAGGTGGCTCCTCGAGCCTCCAGCTGAGAAGCTCCTGTTTGAATACCAACACACTCATTACTAGCAGCAGCGCAGTGACTGCACCTTATCCACGGGGCGGATCTCGACCCCAAGCCTGAGAACTCCTCTTCCCCGCAGTCTCACCAAGCATCATCTCACAGGGCGTTCCCTTCCGCGTGGCACTCAGGCCAGGGGAGCCCAGATCATGTGAGCTACATACAGGCCACCAGATGCCCGTGGACATGTCAGCTGCTTGCATCCTTTGGAGGGTGCTGGTGAATGTTGGTCTCAGTCTAACTTAGATTATGGTGAGACATCAATGGAGCTCCAGGCTATTTCCTGAACGAGTCAGTCTTGGGCCTTTGGATGACAGAGAAGTGAGAGGGAAGGCATTCTGGTGGAGAGATGGCATTGATGCGAGTAGGGCAGGAGCCTGGGGTTCTAGCAGGTGAGCTTTGGCTCAACCACAAGGACATGAGCTGCTCCAGTGAAGTGCAGGACAAAGGCCATTCAGAGATGGCCTTAAAAACCAGAATGTTGGCCTGGTGTGGCAGCCTAGTGGCTAAAGTCCTTGCCTTGCACGTGCCAGGTTCTAATCCCGGCAACCTGCTTCCCATACAGCGCTCTGCTTGTGGCCTGGGAAAGCAGTAGAAGATGGCCCAAACCCTTAGGACCCTGTACCCATGTGAGAGACCCAGAAGAGGCTCCTGGCTCCTGCCTGCAGATGGTGTAGCCATCTGTAGATACTGTGAGAGCTAGAGGAATGAATCAATGAATAGAAGATCTTTCTCTGTGTCTCTCCTCCTCTCTGTATATCTGGCCCAGGGCTCCTCCCGCTCTCTGAGGGCCCGGGGCTCCTCCGGCTTTTCTGCATAGGTAGGAGGGGCCCGAGCCCTGGAGCCCTCAGATCAGGAGCAGAGTAGCCATGACTTGAACTGACCCTCTGAGATGGGCTGCAGGAATAGTGCTGGCTTAATTCTACACCGCAGCCCCAAGGTTCATTTCCTTTGGATATCTGTCACTGCGAAGTCCTTAAATTCAGAAATGGCCACAGATTTATAGTCCACACCTGAATATTTGCCCAACAGCTCTGACAGCAAAGCCTAGAAGAGAGAGACTTATACAGGAATGCGCACAGCATGTTCACAATCAGGGAAAGGCAGAGACACCCCAGGGCGCAGGGCGGCTGCAGAGATAAGCAGAACACACCACAGGTGCCCAGAACAGAGTGCTGCAAAGCTTTCCCACGGGAAGAATGCTGACCCTTGCTACAATGCGGACAAACACACTACGCCAGGCGAGGCAACGACAAGAAGGCAGGTGGTGCTCCACTGAGGGAACAAAGCAACACGCGGAAGCAGCAAGCGAGTGGTGGGTGAGGGTGATGGGAGGTGGGAATCGATGATTACAGAGCTTCACTTTGGCCAGATGAAGGATTCCAGTGCTAGGTATGTGGCAACAGGAATGCACTTGACACTGCTGAAATGTACATCAAAACAAGGATTAAGTTGGTAAGTCACATCATGTGCAGGGTCCCCGATTAAATTTTCTTTTTTAATAGTCAGAATGGCAAAGGTCCGCCACTTTTCATCCACATTCTTCAATTCCAAAAGCTCTGAGAATCACCTGCGGAGTCAGCCTGCTAGAGCAGACCCCACTGCCAGGGACATGGCAGTATCTCCTCCTAACTCTACAGGGAGACACGCACCTAGACCCCAAGGATTCGAAGCGCCAGACCGGGGACACGCGTTCTGGTGAGGGAAGACAGGAAGGGACAGCAAACACCTAATCCATTCACTCACTCACTCACAATGTGTTCTGCAACTGTGCTCCAGGGTCGTACTGGCTGCCCCCGCCTCAGCACAGGGACAACTGAGTGAAACTAGCAGGTGCCTCTTCTGTTTAGTTTCCCAATGTGCCTTTTTTCCCCAGTTGGAGTTTCCCATGGGACCTGGATGAATAACACAAGGAAAGCCAGGCAGACCAGCGCCTGCAGCCGGCTGCCCACTATGCTGCGGGAATGCTTACCAGGTCGCACCTGGGCACGCTGGACACAAACTGGGCCCCTTGGCAGCCAAGAATAAACCCAGCAAGGTTCAGAAGGACGCAGACCACGGAGAGCAGCACAAAGAGGTTTACCTGCAATGGCAAGAGACGGGCTGTTAGGAAAACAAGAAGCAGGTACTCAGCCAGGTTCACCCAAATGAAAACTCAGGTTCTCCTTCAAGAGGAAACCTTTTTTAAAGTTAAAATCAGGTTTTCCTGTGCGGGCTGTCTTTTCAGACGCAGCTTAAATCACAATGACAAATGCCACTGGCTCTTAAGTCTTCCCAATAATCTCAAGCACTTCATTTTTCTCCTCTTTGCAAGTAGTTCTTATCTTTTACCCCCATATGACACTACACCCTGGTCATTTCCCCTGGAGCCAGCCTCAGCTTTGCCTGAGTTCTGCTGGCTCAGTGGCAGTCAGCAGATAAGGGGCTCTGTTATATAAGCTAGAAACCCAGCAGACAGGGGACGAGGGCCATGAGCAGCCAGAATTGACAACTCACAAACGAGAACCAATGGGTCTTTTCTCTTCTGAAGACGGTGTGCGCCATCATCCTCCACGTGCTCTTCTCCAAAGGTAAAAATTACAAATGCTCAAGCCCTTCCCCAACTCGCAGAAAACAGAATCAAAACATTTCCCCAACAATTCCTGCGGTACTTTCTCTGAATGACGTCATTACTCCTAATGAACAAGAGTTGACAGAAACCAATGGGAAAGCTGGTACTTACTTAGGGACAAGGACAATCTGCACAGGTTTTTGGATGCGAGAATTGCAGTCATGAAAATAGGACTTCACCACTTATATAAGAGCACACAAAGCACCAGGGCCAGTGGTTACCAATGCTGGACTCAAGCAGCAGTTCGGCTGCTGGGGCCCTGGAGGGGCTGGCAAGCGCAGGAAGTGTCATGGTGAAGGCTTGCTCTCGCTGGCCCAAGTCTCAGACCCGTTTATGAGCCAATATTTAATAAGCATGCTGCCAGTTTTCCTAAGGGGAATTCCTTCCTGGCTTCTGTGCTTGGATCGTCCATTAGTACACAGCCTGTCAGCAGCCTTGGGAAAACACTGGCAGGCTGCAGCTGCTGCGTCCCAGGCCGTTTTCCTCCCGGGGTTACAGGATTCAACTTGAGTCCTTCCCCCTACTCCGGATCATTCTCGATCATTCCCAAGCCTTCGGAAACATGGCAGGTGTCTTGCCAAGGCACACACAGGATCTTCCCACATGGGCTCCTTGCACAAGGGGCAACACACCTGCTGTCGTCATGGCCAACAACACAGTCACTGCTACCACAGGCAAGCCTTGAACTTCTTGCTTGCTTTGGATTTTCCATTAGTGCAGCATGAGAGGCCTTGAAAAGAAAGGCCTAATGCCAGTCGACTCATTCTTAGTCTTCACAATCAAACATGAGCAGTATCATACATGGAATCTGTCAAAGCCGTTTGGTGCCAACACAGGACCCCAAATGCCATCAATGAAAACCATAAATCCAGGTCCCAGCGCAGTAGTCTAGTAGCTAAAGTCCTCGCATTAAACTCGCTGGGATCCCATATGGGTGCCAGTTCTAATCCCAGCAGCCCCGCTTTCCATCCAGCCCCCTGCTTGTGGCCTGGGAAAGCAATCAAGGATGGCCCAAAGCCTTGGGACCCTGCACCCATGTGGAAGACCTGGGGGAAGTTCCTGGCTCCTGGCTCCTGGCTTCAGATCAGCACAGCACCGGCCACTGCGGTCACCTGGGGAGTGAATCATTGGACAGATGATCTTCCTCTCTGCCTCTCTTCCTCTCTGTATATCTGACTTTGCAACAAAAGTAAAATAAATCTTTAAAAAAAAAAAACTTAAATCCAGCTTGTCAAAAAATAATACAATCAGTGCACAAGCCATTTTCATGCATTTATTGAACAAAGAATCTGTATCTATGATAAACAATAACTCAACAATAAAATGACATTAAAGCGTGTGCAGGGCAGACACTGCCAGGCTTGCCATCTGTACCCCAAATCACAGAATTTTAAGTATCATCTCTACTCCTGCTGCCAGCTCGCAGGGCACACCCTGTGAGGCTGCAAAGCTGGCTGGCCAGCTTCCAGCTGCCACCCTGGAATCTCGGATTGAACTCCTGGCTCATGCCTTAAGTCTGGCCCAGCCCTGGCCTTGAGGGCCTTTGATGTGCAAGTGAGCCAGCAGACGGAAACTGGTTTACATCTTCTATTTTTCCCTGGCCACTTGGGGAGTGAACTAGCGGACGGAAGATCTCTCTCTCTCTGAGTATATCTGCCTTTCCAATTAAAATAAATAAATCTTAAAACAAATGCAGTATGCAAGGAGGACTAATTTTCCAGGGGAAAAGTCTGAAGAATGCTACATCACCCAGGTGAGCAAGGTAAGCATCAGCGATAGCAGTCCCCACCCTGTGCCCTTGAGAAGATGTGGTGCGGACAGCCTTTGTCCGTGCTCTTCCCTCCTGAACTCCTAACCGTCTTAGTCTAATCAGGAGAAAGGCGCCACATGAGCCTGGATGAGCTACAGTCTCCCAAATACCCAAGCAGTGTATCTGCCTGTCAAGGCCATCGGAAATAAAGCCAGCCTAAGAATTTGCCATAACTACAAAAGTCCAACATAGACCACCAAAAGTAAGTGGTGTCCTGGATGGGGTCACTAGAATAAAAAGAACGTTGATGAAATGACAGTGATCTGCAAGAGTCAGGTCTTTGGTTGCAAGGTATCAATACCGGCTCATAAAGTGTGACAAACACACCGTACCGACGACAGACATCAACAGCAGGTGACACTTGGTGCTGGCACAAGGAACTTCTCCATACTACATCCTCGTAAATCTACACTGAAATTAAAACTTTAAGAGGCAAGAAGCACAGCTGGATCCACACTGCAGTATATTCAAGCAAAGGAATATTTGAGTAATATGAAGAAACACACAATTAAAACAGAACAACACACAGCTAAACGGTAAAAACGTATTACATGAGTGAGATAAACAAGATGGTGTGTGACTTCAATTCTGTAGGGTTCACGATCAGACAGAATCATCTGTGGTGAAGGGAATCGGAACAGTGATTGCCTGCTGGGAGCAGGGAGTGAGGGAGGCACAGCGCAACTGGGATGTGACATGGAGACATTTTTGGAAATAATGCAAGTCGATGTCTAGCCTTGATTACCAGCCGACTATGTGATTCCAACTGTCAATTGTTTTTATCTAAACACTTACAGGATCTGAGATTTCACTATATAAATTATATAGACAAAGAAGGAAGGTAGGAAGGAAGAGAGAGGAAGGAAGCATTTAAGCAGATGTTTAGTAACTGGGTTATACAGACTGTCATATCCAGATGTGAGGATACAATGCAGCATGCATCTCTACTCCCAGATCAAAGATGGACTCCCAATGAAATTGATAACTGTATCTTGACAATAGGATGCTGGACTCTTTGCCACTTTCAGTACCCGCAACGTCAAGATACTTAAACTGCAGGATGATGGACTTAAGACTGCTGATGAAGGACTATACTATTGTAATAATACAGGGGAAATTAATGACAGAAGGAATTGTGGGAGAGGGTAAGGAAAATGCCAGAAAAAAAAGGAAGGAATGAAGGTGGGAAGAAAAGAAGGAAGAAGGCAGGCAGGCTGCAGGAGCGTAAACCCACACCTTGAATAAGGTGATTTCTAGAGCTGAGCTGCAAACCAGAAGGGAGGGTGCACATGTGCTCCCGTCTAAACTCGAGTGAGTGGGAGTGACAGCTTCCAGAATGAGGACCTGGCCACAGTGCTCAGACTGCAGTCACCACGTCCCTCCAGCCACGCGCACCTGCATGTGGTTTCGAATTACAGCTTAACTCAAAGAGTCTCCTGAACTGCTCTGGTATCCAGCACCTCTCAGACCCGGGGTTACTGAGCTTCAAGACAGCGGCTCAGATTTAAGGTCCAGGAACTTAGGGTTTGCTGGGGTCAGCTCTCCCCTGGTTACCATGACATGATTCTTGAAAGCCAATTTCTACCTCAACATTACTCGGTGTCTCCTCAAAAACAAGTTAGTAAACCAAAAGCTGGTAACAGTGATGGAGTCCACTCAGCAATACCTGGGGAGGAACAGTTTTGTATTTCTTACATTGCTAAAATTCTTGCTTTAAAAATTATTTTGAGGTGATTTTGGTATCACTTTGCACAAAGCAAAGCCTGGTTCAAATTCAGGGTTCTCACATACTTGAACGGTGTCCCAGGCAACCTCTATGAGATCCACCTTTCTCACCATTAAACAGGTTTGTATTCCTAGCCATCAAGATCACTATGAGAACCACACAGTGATGTACAGGCGAGTCCTTCATACATTTCAATACAGAGCCGACAGCTGCGTCATGATTCACAGCGAGTACTTTCTCTACAGGGAGCCTCTTGATAAGACAGAGTGAATTGCACAAGACCAGTTTCACTAAGTGGTGCCACCCTTTCACTCCTGCACTGTGACAAAGTTTGGTTTATGGCAGCTGGAGGGGACGCTCAGATGGCAAGAATCATGTGCAGGTGTACTGCTGCTAAAACCTCCCAAGGAGGAATCCTTGGGGCATCCTACGCCGGGCCACGGACGTCAGCACGGGATGCCTCCTGTTGGCCCAGCCAGGTCCTTCCTTGGCCCTTCTGCAGAGATCTTGGCTTCTTTGCCTCGTGGGCTATGCCTGGGCAAAGCTATGGCAAAGGCCCAGAGCAAGAGGAGAGGAAGGCTGGCAACATGCTGCTTCTGGCTCCTTCCCTGCCTCAGCTGCCTGAGTCCCTCAAGGAAAAGCTACAGGTGCTCTCAGGGGTCCTCTGTCTGTGACTGACTTCCAAATCTGGCCACTGCTCCCTGCCCCCACCCCATACTTAGTGAAGGTAAGCAGCTTCCCATTCAGCACCTGCACATACCTTCATCAATTGTCCCTTTATTAGCCTCTTGTGTTATAAGTGCTTTGTGCCTCCCATTTCCTGCTGGGAGCCTGGCTGACATAGCTTCTCTACAAAGGTTTTTCTTACATTTAACCAACATTTTTCTTGTTCTGCTCACGAATCCCAGTTCTTAGAGAGACACGTCCTTCTAGACA